AATAAATTATATGAATAACTTTGTCCAATGGTCAACAAGACCATATTTTTGACATATTGATGCATGTTGTATATTAACCATTAGCCAATTTACATTCGCATAATTTTTCATACTTACATAAATAATGTGATTGCTATTAATGAAATATAGAATAATTGGATTTCTTCTATATGTTGACAGAGTTTCTAATGGAAAAAATAATATGCTTTGCCTATTCAACTCATCAAAAATAGCGATAGAAACAGAAAATATATCAGCAGCCAATTGTGCACAATCAGGAAATAGAAACCAAAAAGAAGGTGGGCATGATGATATTCTGTACTCTAGTATCTGACTGAGTAAATCAGTATTGTATTTCAACCAGCTTTTATAAACTTCTAAGCGTTTAGTTAATTGACTATTCATAGCCAACTTAACAAAAATCTAATTTTTCTCATTTCCTCTAATAGCAAATGCAAGTGATCGGAATCCACAATTACCATCACTTTTTAGATTATAAATCTGGTCTATATCATCAACAGGGATTTGAGAACTTAATAGAACTTTCAGTTTTTGATCTAAAAAAAAATAATTATTATTATTATAAAAATGATTCTGAATTGAATTATGCTGAAATTTAAACTTATTAAATATGAAATTTTTAAAAATTATTAAAATGTTTTTTTTTATAAGATTATATTTAAAAAAAAGACTACAAATTTCAGCATCACCTGATTTTAGCATCATTTCCAACAATTATTAATGTCATTTTTAAAATTTTTACATACTCTCAATAGAAATTAGTAAAAAATTACTGTTTTTAGTTTGCTTTTTTTTACTAATTTTAGCTTTCTTTTTTTTCTCTTTTTGCTCTATAAGTTCTACACCAATTGGTAATCATTTTGTTTTAAAAGGATGACCTTTTCCTACAATTTTTTCTGAAACTTTAACTTCAGAAAGGTTAGTTACAGGAACTGCCAAAATCCCATTAAGTTTTTCTAAAAGAGCTGATTTTTGTTGCTCATTTAGAAAACTCACATATCGAGATTCAATTTTATATAACTAAGACTTGAGCAAAACAAGTTCATCAGAATTAGATGCTAAATTAGTTGAACTTTTCATTTTCCTATTAGATTTTAGTCGATCTTTATCAGAAAATAATAACCATCTTGTTGGAATTATAGATAGAAATACAAAACCTGATGTTGGAAGCATATGTTTACATGGTATGTTGTAATTAACTTGTAACTTACACAGACAGGCCTTATAGGTAGTTGCTTTTATAAGTTTATTTTTAATATGATTTAAAGCAAATTGAGCTACTTTTCCTAAGAGTAGTACCAATCGACTCTTGTCACTTTGCACTAATAAGAGATCAATGCCAATGCTCTCATTTGCACTTTGTAATGAATCCTTCTTATTGTGGAAATGTAGCTACCTGTTTAAATGATTAAAAGCCTTTGTTAAGATTCCAGAAGTCTCAAGTGCATGTTTAATTGCTGAGTGTGCACCCTCAACGTATTGTGTCATCATTGCACCAAAGTGCATAATTCTACTAGTATAAACTCCAATCCATTTTTTCTTAACTTTCATCATTTTTTAAAAACCAATTATTAGAGAAGATTATTATATAAACTTATAGTATAGATCTATAAAAAATTACTAATCTAATTTAAAATAATAATAGTAATAATAATAATAATGACAAGTACTGTTATCAATTATATAATGAATAATAACTAATCATTTGTTAAGGTACTACATATATTAAATTGCTAAGAACCATATTTTACTAGTAGTACTAATAAATTATTATAATTTAATCATAGTGCTATGAAAAGATAATGCAATGGCTTATACTATTAGTAATAATATAGAGTCCATTGTAATAGATTAGTTATTAATTATAACTAATAACATAATTGTCTATGATATATAACAACTCTTAGTATAAATTACTCAGTTAGCTTCAAATAAAAATATAATATTTTTCACTTATTTTTTAAGACAAATATGAATATAAAGAACTAATAACTTAGATTTTAAATAAATAATAATTATTATAATAATAATAATAATAATAATAATAATAA